AGAGATATACTCTTATATTCTTCTTTTGTACCTCAAACTTGTGCTGATGTGTGAGGAAATAATTACTTGTATAACAAGACTTTGTCAAGCTTTTTCTGAGGGACTGCAAACTTCCAATAATGACATGGAGACATTATTAATTATGAGAGTTTAGTCTTTAGCTTAGGCTTGTTCCCAACTAGCTCTTATAACTTATCCCATTTCTATTAGTCTTCATTCTGAAATGTGCCTTTTTACCTCTTGTCCATTCTGTATCCAATTCCCTCTGTGTCTCACTGGCATCTCCTCTTTTCTTACTCCCAGAGTTCCACTCTCTCCCCAGAAACCTTGTCTATCCTCTCCTGCCTAGCTATTGGCCATTCATATTTTTATTAAATCAATCTGGTGTCTTAGGCAGGTGAGGCAAAACATAGACATATTTTCACGTAGTATAAACAAATATCCTGCAACATACCTGGACATAAGAAAATCTGGGGGACACTCATCTCCAACTACATTGACAGTTGAGTGCCCCAAATACCTGAATTCAAAGCCCCTCTGACCACATATCTATTATCTCATATTTTATAGTATACATATGTTTATATATAGTATTTATATTACTATATTGATTACATGTTATTGGCATATTTTATATAATTAATATATTAAATTTGTAGTACTTTTTAAAACATTTATTTTAACTGATTTCTTTTATGTGCATTGATGTGAGGGTGTCAGATCCCCTGGAACTGGAGTTAAAAAGCTGTGAGCTGGGTTCTGGGAATTGAACTCGGGTCCTCTCTAAGAGCAGCCAATGCTGTTAACCATTGAGTCATCTCTCCAGCCCCTAAGTTTGGAGTACTTTTTAACTTAGCCTTTGCAGGCCTGAAGCTCCCTCTGTAGACCAGGCTAGCCTAGGACTCATAGAGATTGACCTATCACAGCCTCCCCAGTTCTGAAGTCAGAGTCATATGCTACTGTACCCATCACCCAAATATTTTATTCTAGTATTTTAAAATTTTTCTGAGATGTTTACAATTTTCCTTGGCATATGCTTCTAAATGATGAAAACAATGCAATTTGTTGCTTGGTTTTTGATTTTTTTTTAGGATGATTATATTCCTTTGCTATATCTCTGGAGTACCTGCATTATAAATCCAAACTTTTCAAGCCTGTGATTCCAGCTCTGAAACAATCTGACATGTGCTTCTGACCTCTGCAGGCAGCTGTACTCACAAATACAGACCCACAGAAAGGTATACCCACACACATATAATTAAACCAACACAAATAATTTTAGAAAAACTCCAACTCTGTTTCATAAACTGTCTATCCCCGTAATTCTTCTTGGCATCAAAGCTATGAATCTTGGTTTCCCCTGAGTAAAAAGTCCCTGAAAATCTAGAGAAATGAGTCTCAGCCTGTAAGTTGTGACCTCTTTTGCAGGAGGGGATTGAATGTCCATATCACAGGGGTCACATATCAGATATCCTGCATAGCAATATTTACATTCTGATTCAGAGCAATAGCAATACTACAGTAGTAGTGAAATAAATTTATCATTGGCTATCACCGCAGTATGATGAGCTGTCTTAATGGGGGACAGCATTAAGAAGGTTGAGAACCACTGATCTAGAGGCATTTCTTGGACTGGTGAAGGTGGCAGTGGGATGTGTCTTTCTGTCCCCACACCACCAATCAAACATTTCCATATCAGAAACTGTCATTTGAGATAGCCTGAATGACTCATAATTGCCTCCAGAAAAAACGATCTCTTATTCCCAGAGAGGAGAGAAATGTGTTTATTGACTGTGGACAGTGTGTCTCCAGCTCTCACCATTCTGACTCTTGTCTCCCAGACATTCAGTCTCTGGATCTTTAGCACACAGAATCCTCTGACCTGGCTCTGGTGCCTGCTTCTTAAATGATTTCCTCAAACTTCACAGCTGCAGCATTATGGGGCTCACCACTCCCCTTTGTGTGGGAGCCAAGGCATAAAGCTTGCTGAGTGGAACCGCCCAAGCATAAATGGCATTTCTTCCCTCTCAACGTTTTCAGTTTCTTGTTGTAGCTGAAACTCAGCCTGTCAGCTCTGAGATGAGTGCTGCAGAGGCTGCAGAGGCTTTTCTGGACATGTTCAGTACCACAGACAGACTGCAGGAAGGCGAGATCGGTAAGTATTTAATGCATATTCGAATGGACCTACAAGAGCAGAGAGCTGCTTGTCAGGGACGGGAATAGAAGCAGAAGGCAGAGGAGCTGAACCTCAGGACTGTGAGCCTGCCACAGTGGGTTTCTGCAGAACCAGAAAACGCAGACAGGAGTTTAGCAGACAGGAGTTTAGTTAGCTAGGAGGTTTTTACATTACTTATTCTATTGGAGCATATAATATTTAACACTTAAATAGTTCTCACACAAGAGAAATGAACAATGAATTGCTATACAAAAGCCTTAGTGAAGGCTTTTCTTTTCTTTTCTTTTTTTTTTTTTATTCTTTGTTCTTAGCTTGCTTGCTAGTCCACTCTTCTCCCAGGGATCTGGTAAATTACACTCTGGTGAATCACACCAAGTCCCTGTGGAAAATGCTTGCTTTTTAAGTACCACAGCAAGGGCAAATTCAAACAACAGCTTAGCACTGTGCACAGTGACAGGAGGTGCATGGGAAGCTGATGCTTTTGCCTTGCAGATCCATTGTGATGGAAAAGGATGTAAGGAGAAGGCGGGAGACCTGGGGTCCAGGCTGATCCCACCTAGGAACAAATCTTCTGCATTTTAAGCTTCTAGTAAATTATACTAGGGAATATAATGGGTTTTCTACTTTAGTCTTCAGAAAGAAAGCGAATTTGTGTTTCTTGCATTTTGAAAATGTCTATGCTTCATTATATTTCACTCTTTTATCTTTTTTTTTCTTCATCCCTGTCCCTTCACCTTAATTTTTTTCATTTAGGTAAAGATACTGGATTTTGGCAAAACAAGACTGTTATTTACCAAAATTTAAAATTAATGACGAAATATTAACACCTATCACTTAAGCCTAGTATTCTCCTAACTGAAACATTATTATTAGCTATTACATTTCTTATTCTTAAAAAATATCCCTGGGGTCCCCCCGCCCCGCAGCAAACTCCGGCCTGTCCCAGCAGTGCCGGGCGCTGGCTCTAGGGTCTGGCACCCGAGCAAGCGGCTACAGCTTCTCACCAGCGGGAAGGCACACACATGGCGGGTCAGACATATAAACACTGAAAATAGCCATAAATGTTTATTAAAAAGGGGGAGGGAGAGAGAGAGAGAGAGAGAGAGAGAGAGAGAGAAGGAGGGAGAGAGGAGTAGAGAAGCAAAGCCCCGTGTGTACACCAGGAGAGAACACAGAGAGAGAGAGCAATGGCGGGCGAGGTCAGAGGTTAAAAGGAGTGGGCTTGGCCAGGGCAGGGACAGAAAGAATAACATTCCCACATCTTGCTTTTAATAAAAAGCAAATTAGACACTCCAGTTTGAAGGAATTGGAGCGGCGAATTCTCGAGACTGCTTCCGGCTGATTGTGGGCATCGTCTTTGTTGGGGTGGCGCAAGAGAAGGCTGGGTGCTGGGAACATCCTGGCATAGCTGGTCTCTTTGCTTTTGACCGGTGTCTTTGGCATGGGAATGTCTGGTATCTCTTATCCTGTTTAAGGTATTGGCAGAACAAAGAACAAAGTTAAATTAAGGGAAAAACATTTTAGGACCAGGTAATTGAGGGGGATGTATCTGACCTGTTTAAAGTGGATTCTTTAATTCGGCTCCCTGGAACTCACGAGAACTCCTTGGGTTTGTGAAAACAGAAGTTTTAGACATATAATGACTGTAGCATAAGAGATGAATTTGGTTTGAAATTTGTTTGGTGAGGTCACCTTGCAAAACCTCTCAGCTGTCAAACTTTCAGAGATCTTTGAGAAGGATACGATTTTACTTGAGTTACTGATTAAAAAATGACAGAGAACTTACTTGGTCGGCACCCAGAGCTACTCTTTTTGGGTCCTCCATGGTCGTGGATGGTTGCACTTGACCTTTGCTGTTTAGTGCAGGGCCTGCAAGGCTCCAGAAGATCCTGTGGGCTAAGAAATCTGTAGGAAGACAGGCCTACCTTGACCTGAGCAGCTAGGCTGTCGATTCCAGTGATTCCGTCCACGTCTATAGGTCTTTACTTTAGACGAAAGGCAGGTTTTTCCAATGGTCAGCACTCTGCAGTCGAAGCGAAATGCAGAAGGACATTGTTCTGTGCTTGTCTGTCTTCTGTCTTCTTTGGAGGGAGCAGAGAGCTGCTGCTAGGAGCCAACCTGTCTCTTTTTTATTGTTGTGAAAAGTTTTTAATAATTAAATACTTAAATATCACATTCCCCAGATCTCTGAGCAGTTGAGGGCTGTTTATTAGGTATAACTATAGTATAGAATTTGTTTGGAAAGTTGGGTCTGAGCTTGACCATATTGGCTCTCAACAGGTAAGATTTACATTTGTAAAAAGGCAGATAGAGGGAAAAACTGCTTGTAATATAAGGTTAGTGGCAGAACTGACAATGGTGGAGAACAGCTTAAGAGACTTAAAGGTACATACCAGTTTAAAATATAAGACTGGTGTTTTGTAATCTGAAATGAGATGTAATAAATAATTATTATACGTAGAAAGAGTGAACAAGAATTGGGCAATGTGGACGCCTCTAATGGGCCCTGTCAAAGAGATTTAACCATTGCTCAAAACACATTTAACAGAGTTAGCATGAGGAGTTTAGTGAAAACCGAGTGAAGAGGCAGGGTAGAACCAGGAGAGTGTGGTCACGTGGTCTGGCCCTCAGCCAAGATGGCAGAAAAAGTCACCTGACCCATCTGGCCTTCAGCCAAAATGGCGACCACCACGTGTAGTCTGCTCTGTTAGAGAGCCCGCCATGCCACAATAAAAGCTGCACAGGAAAGGGGCAAAAGGCTGGAACCAAAAAATGGCTGTGTAAGTGTAAGGCCGGAGTGATAGGTCTGGATGGCTTGGCTCCCATGGTGAAGGCCGTGCAAACGCCCGCAAAAACCGTGGCACCTCAAGCCTACAACAAGAACGGCTCCCCATTAAGGCAAGATGCAGATGGCAAGAACCTCCGGGCCCTATGAAAAGGCGTCTGATTCCATAGGGGGGTGTATAACCTAGCTGAATCGACTCACAGGCAAGAGGGATCCAGCCTAGGTCAGGCCGCACCGTAGCGGCATGCTGCACCGTAGCAGCAGTGACACCGAAAAGAAGGAAGAAAAAGAATGAAAAAAGAAAAAGAGAAAGACTGGAGGCCCCGGGCCTTGAGTATCACCTTAGTAGAAAGAAAAAAATAAAAATCGTGATAATTGAGTTTCTAAAGATATTTTTTGTTGGTGGAGACCACTTCTTCGTTTCCTGGCTGTCCAGACTCTGAAATAATCATGCAGAAACTTTATTATTTAAATTACTGCTTGCACTACTAACTCTAGTTTCTTACTGGCTAGCTCTTACATCACAAATTAACCCATTTCTATTAATCTGTATATCGCCACATGGCTGTGGTTTACTAGCAAGATTCTGTTGCATCTGTCTCCTGCAACAGATGTCTACATGAGTCTTGCAACACTACCTTCTTTCTTCCAGCACTCAGTTTAATTTTTCCTCCTAGCTCTAGTCTGTAAAGCCTCTGGCCAAAACAGGTTTATTCATTAACCAATTAAAGCAACACATACACAGAATTTTTATCTAATATGAACAACAAAATATGAATATTGAGAGTTTTGTAGGTAGTCAAAAATTCAAAGGACATTATATAATGCTTACAATCCTCTAATCCTAAACATTGTCTTTCTTGTTAATTTAAGCATCAGTCCTCTTAAGACTTGGAGATGTATTTTCATGTCAGACATATGCTCACGTCTCCATCACAGTGAAATAAAGTTTTATAACTCCACTCAAATTCCTCTGAGGCACATTGCAGATTCTTCCCAGACACTCCTCCCTGATATTTGTTTTTCCAGACATTTGCTGTTCCCATGGATCCTACAGACTGGTAGTCATCTACATGTGTTACTTGGGTGTCAAGTATAAACAGTTGACCTCAGAGTTATGTTCCAAGCACCACTGATCGACAAACAGTTCTTAAATTGAAAGCAGCTTGAAATACATTAGCTTTTATTTTGCAGAAGGTTAAGAAAAGCCAACAGGAACATTGGTAGATTAGATTAGCTAAAGCAGAAACAATTTAGTGATGTTTGGAGAGACATAAATAAACCCTAGCTTTGTTATCAGATTCTCAAGATTGGCTGCAAGACAACTGGCTCAGAGCTCACTACTCTAGAGCTGTGGACGATCTAAGCCTAAGGAACACTTGGGCACAGTAAGGTTCAGGCACAAGCATATGCTCCAAGTTTTCCTTTAGAATGCCCCATCCACAGTGCTTAGTAATATTGATTTACATTGTCAAAGCTAGAGAATATTTGGCTTGATTCCAGATGTGATTTTTAAAAAGTATTTTATATTTTTTCTAAGATTCTCGAGAGTTACTGTCAATATTTATATGTATATTTTATGTTTTAGTGGAAATATGGGTTTTTATTTCTCTTGAGGGAATATGTGGCTAGCAGGGCCAGGACTTATAGTAAGTGTATTCTCATTTATATAAACTGATGATCTGTTTCCAGTTGTCTTTTCTCAAACCTGATCAAGCTGAACATATTTAATACATGATCTTAATTGGCCAGTATTCAAGTATTTGGTCCTTTTTTATTCTCTCTCTCTCTCTCTCTCTCTCTCTCTTAAAACAATAAGTTCTCACAACTCTCAGGATACAACTCCTTTTTGATCTATGTCCTGCAAATATTGTTCTTTGAATTCCCTTTGAAAGACTCAGAAAAGAGAGATTTTTAAAATTAGGCCAAAATTCAAGTGTTCCATTTTCTATAATGTGTATTGGGATATTGGTATTATACCTGAGACACTTTTATTCACCACTAGGTCACAAAAGATTTTTTTTACTCTTTTCCTCAGATAGTTTTATAGTCCTAGGATTCATTCCTGGGTAGTATTTTATAGAAGGTAGGAGAAGTGAGTTTTAGTATGTGATACAGATTGCCTCAGAGGGTAGGCTGAAGCCAAAACATACTTAAATCTTTGTTTCTGCCCCTCTATGATTAGGTGGTATCATTTCTGCAAATTTGACCTCTTGATTTTTCTAAGTGTCTCAGCTAGACTAATACTTTTGTATTTTCATACAATTTGAAGGTTATCTTGAGCTGGATGGTTAAACACGGTTCTAAGCACTGGCTTCCTTTGCAGAGAACCCAGATTTAGTCTCTCGTACTTTCATGGCCAACACAACTATTCGTAACTCCATATCCAAGGAATTCAGTACCCTTTTCTGGTTTCCTTTTGGATCAGGCATGCACATCATGCACAGAAATAAAATGAGTCTTTCTTTGTCCCTCCACCTCCCAAATGATGACATAGAAACTTCTTATTAATTATGAAAGTTTTGCCTTAGTTTAGGCTTGTTTTGAACTTGATCTTAAATCTTAAATTTACCCATATTTCACCCATTAATTATGTCAATGTGTTCTACTATATTTAAGTGTGTTTACTAATTTATTTACTCACTAGGTTCTAATGTGCTCTGTTATATTTATGGATGTCTTTACTAATTTATTTACCTACTAGGTTTTTGAAACTGATCTAGGTTGGCCTCAAACCTCCTTTGTAGCCAAGGCTGGCCTTGTACCCATGGCTCTCCAACTTCTGCATCTCTAACACTAGAACTGCAGAAGTGTACACACATACCTGTCTCTTTGACTGGAAGAGGAGTTATACAGACAGTCCTTAGCTGTCCCATGTGGAAGGTGGGAGCCAAACTTGGGTCCTCTATAAGAGCAACAACTGTTTCTAATTTCTCAGTTTTCTATATCTCCAGCCTCTTGCTGATTACTGCCACCTCCAACCCCCACAATGTTTCCCTCAGTCCTAACCAGTCTATTCTTTCTTTCTTTCTTTCTTTCTTTCTTTCTTTCTTTCTTTCTTCCTGTCTTTCTTTCTTTATATATTTATTTATTTATTAAAGATTTCTGTCTCCTCCTCACCACTGCCTCCCATTTCCCTCCCCCTCCCCCAATCAACACCCCCTCTCTCATCACCCCAGAGCAGTCAGGGGTCCCTGCCCTGTGGGGAGTCCAAGGACCTCCCACCTCCTTCCAAGTCTAGTAAGGTGAACATCCAAACAGCCTAAGCTCCCACAAAGCCAGTACGTGCAGTAAGATCAAAACCCAGTGCCATTGTTCTTGACTTCTCAGCAGTCCTCATAGTCTGCTATGTTCAGCAATTCCCGTTTTATCCCATGCTTTTTCAGACCCAGGCCAGCTGGCCTTGGTGAGTTTCCGATAGAACATCCCCATTGTCTCAGTGTGTGGGTGCACCCCTCGCAGCACTGAGTTCCTAACCAGTCTATTCTTGATCTCCACTCTTTCTGTTTCTAATCTGTTTATTAGCTCTCAGTTCCATAACTGGAAGACTACATGGCAACACTTCTGCTTCCCTTTCTTCTACTTCTCCGTGAGTCATAGACATCATTTGCAGACCAGGAATTTCAGTAAGTGTTTGCAGAGGAGTACAAGCAAAATCTACTAATGAGTCTGAGTAAATACAGCTTTTTCCATGAAAGATTCTTGAGATTGATATTCTTATATTTTTCAGATAAAAAGCTCCAAGAAAACATTTTCAGAATCGTTTCCCCTGTGTCTCCTGCTAGACTTTACTGCTGCTATGCAGTGATCATCGTCCTCACTGGAGCTGTGATTGCACTTTCTGTTGCTCTGTCATTGTCAGGTGAGTGACATTCTCCAGATCCTGCAGCATTCTGTCCACATCCACACTTAGTGAGCACTGTGAGCCAGGCAATGTGTGAAGGGCAGGAGAGAAAACACACTGGAAATTCCTGTTCTCTGGGAACTTATGATCTAGCAGAAATGTGCAATGAATGATCAGCACTGGCTGTGGTGTATGCAGGAGGCCAGGCTCAGCATCCCTGGGAAAATGGCATTGAGCAACCCCTTGAAAGATGCAGGAGACATATGTCTACCATGGGGAACTATTCAAAATAGAAAACAAGGGGAGCAATACCCAAAGAAGGAAGCTCAAGGAACTGTGAGGACAGAGAAGAAAACTATGTCCAGGATGATGTCCTTCCCCTACTACTAATGGTGTTAATTACCATGTTAAACTATATTTTAAAAGTATTCAATGAAAGGTTTTTGAAGTGATCAATTTATAGAGTTTTAGAACTACACTGTTCAGAATAGTGTAATAAAAGACTTGTACTGTTGCCATATGGCAGGTGGTACTCTTTCTCTCTTGGCTGGTTGGCCACCAAATTGAAAGGAAAAAAATAAAGAAGGGGTGACAGAAAGTTTTTATACAGTCCATGAGCACAGATGAAGAGAGGCTTCTGGGAGACAGACTTAAGTGGATCATCTCAACTTTATTCCAAAGTATAAAGATTAAGGATTTTACATAGGATTAAGGAGTCTGGGGACATACTGTGGCAGTAGGGTCCTTTAAAATAGACTTTCTAGCATAAGTCTTCTTAGCAGGGCTCTGTATCAAGGGCAAGCTAAGGATGAACCAAGCATCTGGTATTAAAATAGGTATCTGGTTCAGAGGCAGATTTCAGATAATGTCAGTCCTCCAGGCCCAGGAACATCCTCCAGATGAAACTAGACAGAGAACAGGAACTTTGTTGGGGAAGGAGGAAGTTCCTTATTGTCAAGCTGGAGAGAAAGCTGCTAGTCTATGGCAGACTGTGACCTCTAATGTGTCTGAGCAATCCCTTAGTGCAACAGGTCCACACTGTGTACACTGCCTTCCCAATAGTCCTTGTTATCTAAGTTATCAGGCTGACTGTCAAAGTAGGTGGCCATACAGGGTGCTTGTTGCTCTAGCAGCCCAATTGTAGTGAACAATCATAAAGCAAAAAAAGTGATGATATTATAGGAACTCACTTCCTGGGCCCGTATTATGAGTGAGCACCTGAGGGAGATTGAGGTACAGGCCTGAGATGGGATGCCTTTAGCTAAATGTCCATCATCTTAAGGAGAAGACTCCTACAGATAAGTTAGGAAAACTATAGTCAAAATCACATCTCACATCTGAGCTCAATAGGCTATGTCAATTCTTGTTATAACTCATTTTATTGTCTAAATTTTAGGAGAAAAGCCAGAACAGGTCTCAGTCAAAAATACTTATGCTGTTTGCCCAAGAAACTGGATTGGATTTGGGAGTAAATGTTTTTATTTTTCTGAAGACACAAGCAACTGGACATTCAGTTGGAATTTCTGCATGAAACTAAAGGCACAGTTAGCTAAATTTGACAACATGGAGGAACTGGTAAGAAAGGATTGGAATTGATTAGCTTGTTCTATTGAATATGTATTGCCTTGAGATAGACTATTAAAAGATGAAGCATGAGGAAGGATCACCCCTTGCAGATGGAGACATGGGGAACACATGATTGTGTGCCATTTACTGATGGTAATATTTCTGATTGGAGTCCTCAGACATTCATGAAACATTTTCTCATGTGGTGCTCATAGTCAACCTGGAAGGTCAGATATGCCACTTTACTGAGATACCTGGTGGTGATGAGCATTTTTCTCCAAGCTAACAAAGGCTGCATCCTGAAGGTGACAACTGTTAATAACTGCAAGGGCAGGCTTAACCGGGAACTCACGCAGCCATGAAGAATATGTAGTTACACTTGGTACTTTAATTCAAATGAGGTACTTAAGAATTATGACTGTCAACTGGATCCACTGAGAACTCATGGCTATTATGGCTCCAAAGTCTGTGTCCCTCACTTATACCCTCCTGCTACCTAAAGAGAAAGCTGTGGGTTGGGGGACACTCAAGGGTCATCTGAAACAGAGAGACACATAGTTTTGCTTTCCATGTCTTATGACAGAATTTCCTGAAGAGATACAAAGGCACCTTTGACTACTGGATCGGCCTGCACAGAGAGTCATCACAGCACCCTTGGAGGTGGATGGACAACACAGAATATAACAGCTCGTATGTTTTCAAACCACTTTCCTACTACTGTGATCATTTTTTATGAAGTGTGTGAGTTGTGTCTATTAGAGAGGAATGGCTGTGTCATGTGAAGCCAGCTATACTGCCTTGGAAGTATTTTGGCCATCATTTCCAAAACCTTTACTTAGTGTGATTTTCCTCAAAATCTTTAGCATGATGATGGCATCTGGGGTAGCTATTGTCTTCTCCGTCACTAATTTAAATTTCTTTGTTGTTGATAAATGTTCTGTGTGTAATGTAGAAATAATCTTAGATGGGCAATGAGAGTCCTGAGACCTCAGGAAGCCACTGCAGAAGGACCAGCCCGAGACCCATTAGTCCACTGTATGTATGGCTGCACCTGTTCAGAGAAGCAGAAGTTTCACATCGTTGAAAACCTCCCTTAAAATCTAACTAGAGAGCACCCAAGACAATTCTTGAATGTGGGCATAGATGCTTTGAATGGAGCATTATAGACTCAGTCTTGTCCATTATTAAAGTACATTCAGAAATTTACTAAGAAGTGTTTTTTTCCATATGTGAAATGCTTCAAAACAGAATTGAAAATCATCCTCAGTATGCCACCTATGGCTGTAGTTCAATTAAACAGGGTAGCAAGTACTAGTCAAGTCCTTTGTACATGTATTTCAGGTTTCAACATGGATGAATATCAAAGGGACTGTGTTCAAATCAAACAAGATTTCACTGACGAGAGAATGCATTTCTGGGCTCTGTCAACTTACTGTTTTGGGTTTATTTTCAGGATTCCCATCAGAGGAGCTGAAGAATATACCTACCTGAACAACAACAACTGGATCAGTAGTGCCAGGATCTATGTAGAGAAGAGATGGATCTGTAGCAAGTCCAACAGCTATATCCTCCAATGCTAAATTCCTTTTGCTTCTTTCTAGTCTTTGTCAAGAGATGTTTTTTTTTAACAGTTGCTGCTCTAGTCTCCATCTTCCAACATTGTTATCAAAAGAAACTGAATATTTGTTGACATCACAACTGAACACCATCTTGGAGAACGGCACATACATGGGCTTAGAAGAACACTAGTATGTGTAAAATGAGTGTTGTTACTCATACCCTAAGCCTCAAGTACTTTAAATGTTAGTAAACCCCACTTTTATGATATGGAGTTTTTGTTCAGACAGTCTTCTTTATGAGGTTATTTGACCATCAAACTGAGTTCTCCAATATACAGTTGTCCTTGCACTTACATGATGAAAAGCACCATGCAGTGGTGTCTTTAAAGTGGGCCTTTGGAATGAATCTTGTTGTCACCATTATGACTGTGAGACTGTTTAGTTTCAAATAAGTCCCTGACAAAAAAGCATTTTTCTACAAAAACTCCATTTTATATCATTAAACTGTGTGAATTTTATCTACAAAAGAAACTTGATAGGTTTATGACCTTATCTGACCCAATAATCTTGTTCACAGTAGACTTGAACAAGTAGACTTGTAGGTCTACTTATACAGACTCCTCAGATTTAGATGAGATAACTCAGGGAAATGTCCTGTCAATGTCTCTGACTTATAGTAAACACAGGGTAAGTTTTCTTCCATTGTTCTGTGGAAATAATTCTGAAAGGAATAGTAAGTTTTCATGAGCAATGGCCCTTCTAAGGAATCATCCTATAAGCTACCAATGAACTGTTCAAACCAGTTTCTTATAGAGATAGAAATTTATCACTAGTTAAATGAATCATTTTAAGAGCATATAGGAAACCAATCTTTTTCTTTCTTCTTCTTCTTTTGTGAGACGGAGTCTCACTATGTAGCATAGGCTGGCCCTGAACTCAGAGATCTCTCTGCCTTGTCCTCCTGAGTGTGGGTTTGAAGGAGTGTGTCACCATGCCTGGCTTATGCTTAAATGGGCTGGGGAGATGGGTCAGTGGGAAAGAGTATTGTTGTAGAAACACAAATTCCCACCATTTACATAAAAGGCCAAGCATGGCTCTTCTCACATTTCTGTTATTTGAGGTCTACAGGGGACAGAAACAGGAGGATCCCAGGACTTGTTGGTCACCAATCTAGTTCAGAGAGAGACAATGCTTTATACAACAAATAAAGAGAAAATAAATTATGACTATAAAAGCAAATGGTTCACACACTTTATAGGAAGTATCCAAGTAATTTGGGATTTACCCCTTCTCCTAATTCAAATTTCTCAAACTTATTCTTAATGCTTTTTATTCTTTGAGAATTTTGATCAATGTGTTTTGGTCCTATTTACACTCTTCCAAGAATACCTGACCCATCCTTACTCACCCAGTTTTGTTTCCTTAGAACAAACAAACAAGCTACAGAACCCTGGGCTGAGAGAAGGCCAGGACAGCACAGCAGAATCCCCTGGAGTGTGAGCTGAAAGGCTGGGCACAAGGATGACATCCAAAGGGATGGCAGAGCAACCCTTTCAATTATTATGAATCTAGTGGATAAATGTATGTTAATGGCAGAACATGAAGTTAACCAATTTTAAAGAGGAAACTTTCTCTCTTAAGTGCACATTTGGAATTTTAGCAGATGAGAGAAAAGTATTCCAGGACAGGGAGAGAAGACAAGAACCCCCCCCCCCCCAAAAAAAAATAAACAGGCAGGTTGGAAAATAAGCTGTTCATAAGTAATACTTATCTGAGTTCATTTTTGACCCATGATGATGTTCGTTAATCCAAGTTTGCCTGGGACCAGCTTTGACAAAAATACCACTTTCCAGGGAAAGGTTGTGGGGATCAGAAATATTAGTATAGAATATGAAGGCACATTTAAAAATTATAAAACAGAAACCATAGAATAGTACTGGGAATGTGTTCCAGTGAATACTGAAAATTGCAACGTTTGATTTTTACATTTTCATACCCCAATACAAAAGAGGGAAAACGTAACTAAAAGAGTGACTTCTTTAACATAATACAAAGGACAACCATTAATTGCTCAAACACTTTGAGACATCAAGTCAGTAGCATTCTGTTGTTTAGGAAGTGAAGCCACCCTAGACCAAGTATCCTGAAGGCAGTCACTCCTGGGATAACCTCCTATGACAATAGAAGGAACAAATATATGTGGGCATATCCTGACCATCTGTCATTATGGAATGGATCTACCCATATGTGCCATCTTAAAGTCAAAAGAACCAAGAAACCACATCCTGAGTCAAGATGTATATCTCTGATTGTTGTTAGCAATATTGAGCATCCTCTGACTCTTTGAACTTCAGACAATATGGAAATAGGCTCACATTTTTGGACCTCCAAAAAGTTGAAACCTTATAAGAACTTTCTTTAAGAGGCAAAAGTGTCAGATATTCCAGTATTATTATTATTTGTATTCTGTATTGAAATTCATGTTATAGATGAGGCAAACAGACACATTATTTGAGTCATAAAAGAAGTTTAGAAATCTAAAAGTAATTTTGGTTTAAAGCAGTAATATTTATTTTTACTTGTTTAGAAGATTGGATGAGTACAAATTAAAAAAAATGTATCTATTAAAATTAGAAGCATTTTCTTTATTTTTAAAAAATGACCAAGGAATATAAAATCCTGAGCTTATGGCTGAATAGCAAGCATTGTTGTTGTATCAGTTTATTTAGAATTTTTTGAGTTTAAACTTTGAAATTTTGAAATCTTAATTTAACTATCATAGAAGGGGAAGAAGATTTGGACTATGTTTTATTTTTTTACGTATCTAAACCTGGTTTTCAAGCAGTAAAAAAATCATTTAATTAAACCTTTATATCCTTAAAGAACTTTACATCCTAATATACTTTTTTGTTAAATTAATCAAGAGGCAAGGGTCATAGATAATTGAGAGCAGTCAATATAGAGTGAGTTTCTTTAATCAAAGGAATAGTAAAAAATTACTTTGAAACCTGTTTGATGAGCTTTCCTCTATTTGGAATTTGGTAACAAGATAAATGATTTTTAGATCTGGTATAAAAAATATAATCCAAATGATTCAAAAATGTAATTCGAACAAAGACCTTCTAGCAAGTAAAAGGCATGGCACAGTTTTCTGTAATATGGGAAAATTAAACATTTTAAATGCCAGGCAATAAGTAAGAACTTATTTACATTACTTAGCATACTTCAACCTGCATTTCTAATTATCCTCAATAGCCTTAATTTAAGTAAATTTATTATTCACAGTTTATAAATTAGTTGTCTTTATAGATCTAGAATTTTATATATTATCCCTATTATGCTTAGCATAAAAATAATAATTTTTAATTAAAGTTCTTTTAGCATTGCCATGAAACTTTTTAATCATATAAACATTATATAGGGAGACTGTCAACTTTATACATCCTTATAGTTCATCATGGAATTTAATACGTGTGTTAAAGAAACCACAACAGCTGTTGTATGAGGGAGAAGAGAGAAGGGTTTATTTCAAACAAGGGTCAGATGAAAATTGGGAAACATAGATAAAGGAAATAGTCAGCCAATTGCCTGCACATCTTAGATGCTGCCAGCAAGACATACAAAACACACAAATCCAGACATTCAAAAACCAGTCAAAAATCAAGCACACTGGGAACACATTTCCATTTATATGAACAGTATAACAGGAAGACAGACAACATTTCTAGATGAAGCAGCACATGGCAGGCAGGTAGATTTTTTAAACATGGTTTCGGGGAGGCGTGAAGAACAGAGTAGAGACAGGCAGTTAAAGACTTAGCAACTAGGAGCAGCGGGGAGGGGCAGAGACTCAGATTGAAGTGAGAGCAGAAAACAAAGATTCTAAGAGTTAATAAGTATTTATACAGTAAGATTTATCTTGCTTTCATGAACATTTCCAATCAAATTGAAAAACCGTGCACAATGTTTACAACATGGAGAAGGTGCTATTACTCCTATGACTTGGTTTTGGATGGAATAATTGGAAGTTCCTGCACTGCCCTGAGATTTTGTAAACAAACCAGGAGCTCAGGTAGCCTCATCCATATAGAGATAAAGAGAGGGAGAGACAGATTTTTAGTACAGGATAGAAGAAACAGCCTGGAAAATAGTTTATGAATGTGGGGGAATCACCATTTGAATTTCTCAATCAGCTCAAGGAGTTTGAAAGCCTGAAAAAGCAGGTGCTGTCTGTCTCCCTTCAGTGAAGCCAGTTTTGATATTTGAATGAGGAGCTGACAGAGCTCCAAGCTCCAAGCTGAAGCATGAGTTAACTCTTTAGTTCCCAGTGAGACAAAGCAATGAAAGCTGTTTGGAGCAGGCAGGGATCCTAGCTGCCAACCCTTGGAAAGCTGGGAGAGAGCTTGGGAAACTTTTTCAACCCTTATTGGCTTTCTCAGGAGGGCAAGAGATGTGATAAAGTTACTCACTCTTAACAAGTGCCCTTGGAACTAGTAGCAGTCTACCAGTGAGGACTCTCTGAGAAACTGTCTCTTCCAGAAGGGACCTCCTGTGGTTGCCCTCCAAGGTGCTAGAGGAATATCACGTTATTATTCTAGGGTGTTCAAGACCCGAAATCTGCAGAATCCAACAAGTGAGCATTTGTCTTTAGCTGCCAGATTAGAGAAATGTCTCTCTCAAGCATCTCTCAGGGGGTTTCTCTTCAGGGGACACCTCAACAAAAAGCTATCTCTCTTCTTGGATAGTTTTGGAAATTCTTTTGAATCCCTATGTTCAGGCACCATACTGTGTAACATTGTGGATTCCATGAGATAAGATCCAACAACTCCAGATTGATCTCCAAAAATGTAAGGAACAGCTCTGATGCCTCTGGTAGATGGATGGTTGGTAGTCCAATGTGGAACTGGATTTCTTACCCCCCCCCATATCTTCTTTTTCTTAATCCGAATTGTACCCTGCTTTATACACTTCTTGTTGAGATTCTTCAATAGCAGATTCAAAAGATTTTTAAACAGACTTTTAATCAGCTGCTATTACAGGATTATAAGCCCCTGGCCATAGAACCAGAAGCCTGTGAATCCCAACTATTCCCAAATAGTCGAGGTCAAGCTTGCTCCAAGAACTTTGATGCCCCCAAACAGTAGGAAATATTCTGATAATAATTTTTCCCATTTCCTGACACTTGATGGTTTATCAATGGTAAACCAAAGGAGGGGGGGATGTATCGGGAACTATGGAGTTCGTTTGTCCTAGATGTCTTGAGAGTCATGTGTTGATGGGGAACCTCCTTCAGCCAATGGTCTTCTCTAAATTCAAGCATGTTGTTTAAATATTGTTTAATATTCTAATATGAATTTTTTAGTCTTTGAGCTATATAGGTATTAAAAGTTATAGGTCAATAGTCATTCATGTTTGTCCCACTTATAGGTAAATTAATCAGGTTAGTTAGATAAATAGAGACTTTCTGTCTCATGTTATGAGCCATCTGGTACGGGACAGAAAGAAGAAAGATCTTAGGAAAAATTTACTTTTCTCCATATCTATGTTTGTCTCTAGCATACCTTTCATTAAATATATGTTTATATGAATACTGTTTAAGTTTTCCACAATGAACAGTAGATTTTCCTGCAGTAATCTTTGAAGTTTCCAGAAAAAAAGATGGGGCCTCCCAATGATCCCACCTGGTTGATATGAGCTCATGCTGCTGATAGCAGAACTTTAAGACTGGTTTTGGGAACCAGATGCTCAAGGTGGTACCAACTTGGTTAACTGAAATGGTGCACCATCTTATCACGTTCTGGCCAAAACTCCAAATAAGAACTTTAAAAAACCCCATCGACTATTCAGAGACTATTTACAATTTTACAAGACAGTAATCTTAAAACTTAGCCATCATTTTAGTTTTACAGGACTCCATAGAAAGAGCATTGACTCCATGACAGCTAAAAGTAATTTTAAAAGACGATGGCCTTTCTCCCAACAAAGTTTGTCCTCAGGGTTAAGGACATCAATTAGGGGCTGATTATAACAGGTATAGGGTTGGGGCTTGTGGTGCAAATTTTAGGCTCAAAATTCTTACTAAAATAAAAAAAGAAAATTGGATAGGATAACAGGCATGTTAGTGTGAACTTACACTAATAATAATAATAATGAATAATAGAGTGAATACTTGTAAGCTATTATTTATAGACAATTTACATTGGTATAGATTCTTGCATATTGATAAAATTATATTGAATATGCTCCTATTTCTGTTTACATTTTTTGTACACCTATGTGAAGTCATTTTGTCATATTGTATACATGCATGTTTCTACCTCTCATTAAGACATTTTATATATTGATACATTTTTAGGATATATTTATCATATTGTATCATACATTTCTACCTCTGATCAAGATACTTATACATTGTTTACCTTTTGAAGTCATTGTCCTCATTTGTTGCTCACCTGTTTAAAGATTGTTTAATATTTGTAGTAATAAGGGCGGCGGGGCTGCGTCCCGCCACCCGGCTAGCTTTATACTCGAAATAATTACACGGTCACTGTATTCTTTTAAACACTGCTTGGCCCTTTAGCTCTAGCCCTTACTGGCTAATTCTGATATCCGGATCAACCCATCTCTAATAATCTGTGAGCACCTGTCTTACCGGGAAGATTTTAGCCTATGTCCATCCTGGGTCGGAGCTTCATCGCGTGTGTCTGCCCAGGAGCAGGGAGCATGGCATCTCTGCTGAGGCGTCTGCTCCCGAGAGGAGAGCTGTGGAGTTTGAGCTCACTTCCTCTTTCTCCCAGCATTCTGTTCTGTTTACTCCTCCCACCTATCTTCTAACCAATGAGGGCCAAGCAGTTTCTTTTAATTTAACCAATGACCTTCCTTCATCAAATATTCTTATATGAAGGCTTAGTCTTTGAGCTGTGTAGGTATTAAAAATTTTATGTCAATAGTAATCCATGTTTGTCACACACAAAGTTAGATTAATCAGGTTCTTTAGATATAAAATATTGTATTCTACATAGATAGGTTATCTTCAACTACTTCAAAGAACTGTACAACATGACATTTAAATAACTTAGGATTCTGTTGACGTGAGACACAATTGCTCCTGGCAGCACCATTCTATTCTCAAGAAAATGTTGAGCACTGAAGGAAGACACTCTACTTGGAGCTTGTTTTTTTCTTGGCAAAACTGGCCTTTGGGCAAAGTACTGCCCATGTCTCAACTACTGACAAACTGGACAGTGTCTGGACTGGACAAGCAGGATAAAAAAAAAAAGACTGCCAAACATTGCCAAGACAGAGTAAGATGGTTTTGAAAATTTTTTCTGCCTCTGAAAATGGTCTGTCAGATCCTGTAGGCCTTAGCCAAAGTTGGTTGCTCTAATTGTGCAAATGACACTATGGTATTTGCCCAGGTAGCCAGTTTTTTCTGTCATCTACTGAGTATTTTGTATGCTGCTTGATTGCACTTCCTGCCTACTCACCTAATATCTCTCTTCTTAGGTCTTCGATGGGGTCAAAGACTAGAAAGCCGTGTACCAAAAAGGCTCAGACCTGCCCACTTTCTCACTTTCCTCGCTCTAACACCTGGATGCTGGATTCCGTTACTCTTCCCTCATTGTGATCTGTGAGTCCTCCCCACTTAAATAAAGAACCCTATTATTTTGCTGTATTTGGAGCTAGTGTGGGATTATTTGATTTGCGTTCATCTTCGTCTGGTGTGTTTCCCTTCAATGTGGTATAGATTTTTCAGGTACGAATCCATGACTCCTGGAGCACAATGCACCTTCTAGTTCTTAAGAGATCAATGCATTCCCTCAGTCTGTGAAGTATTCAGGCAAGTTTGTATTCCTCTGTATGTTCTCTTAGTAGTCAAGGAAGCATGGAGGCTTGACGGGACATTTGGTATTAGACATTAATCTTGAGTATCCTGTACAATTTACAAACTTCACTGTATCCTGGCAACTACAACTGTATTGATCTTGGAAACTGCAATTATATTTATTGTCTTAGTTAGGGTTCCTATTGCTATGAAAATACACCATGACCATGAGAACTCTTATGAAGGAAACATTTAATTGAGGTGGTGGTGTACAGTTTCAGAGGTTTAGTCCATTATCATGATGGTGGGATATGCAGGTGTACAGGCAGACATGGTGGTGGAGCTGTGACTCCTACATCTTATTGAACTGGCAACAGAAGGTGAACTGAGACACTGGGTATGGCTTGAGCATATATTCCAACTCAAAACCCACCTCCACAGTAACACAATTCAACTAAAAAGACGACATGCTTTCTAATAGTGCTGCTCCCTTTGGAGGCCATTTTCCTTCAAATCACCACAAGAATTAAGGATAACCCCAAAGGGGAATGTTTATTTAGGAGAAAGAGGAGGACAATTGTAACTGGGAGAAAAGAGGTGTGAAAAGTTTCTGCACCAATGCAGCAATCTAAATCAGACCATATGAAACTGAATTAGAAAAGCCAAGGTTTAATGGCTACAATGTTCCTGGGTAATTTTCCAGCCCTGCAGAGAGGAGATAGGAAAGAAATAATGGAAAATCATGCATCTGTTTTCTGAGGGACAGTTTAAGTACTCGGTGAGAGTGGTCTTGAGCATCTGTTGAGGAGATGTCTTTATTTTGCAGAATTTCTGAGATGCAACAGGACTTGGAGAGAGTTGGGTGAGGGGGCTTGGGATCAAGCTTCCAGCAGAACACTCCAGACTCTTTGGGTATATAAATACCAGGGACTCGGGTGGACCTTCCACGAGAATATCCCAGATTTTTTTACTGTATGGACACCAGTTTGTGTCTGCTGCTTCATGTGTACATGGGATGATCACAGGAGGGAGAGATTGAGGGCTTACACTCAACAGGAGGTGTGAGTGGAGGAATATCCAGTTAACAGTCATCCTGAAGACCTCAAGCATTTGTTTTGTGAGGAAGCAGAAAAGGCAAGCTGGTATGAAATAAAATAGATTATTAATACCTGTTCTAGTTGTGCTGACAAAGATGATTGTACCAGGAAAAAAAGCTGATAGGCCCTTCCTTGGGACATTATGGAAAACCAGAGGGAGGAGTGTCCCAGCTGCTGGACAGACCAAGTATTCTGAATAGGTGTTCGTTTGAGCCTAGAGAGGTGGTACCAAGGGTGAAGTCCCAGGAGCTGTGCAGGTGCTGGCATTATCTGGAGGGCTGTCTGCAGGTTGGATTGGCAAGAGTCTAGCAGAAGGGATAGGACTGTGTGGGAACCTATAGGTATCTGTAAAATAATTGGGACAAATTTATATCTTGGTGTCATAGAAAAATGCTATGACTTTAGGTTTAAAGGCATGAACATTTTAGAAGACAAGAGGAAATTTAAAACTCTGAACCTCTATATACCTGAAATTTGTTCATCCTGTACCATGCATCCTGTGAAAGAGGCACATTCATCTGTATTTTAGCCAAAAACTTAAATAATAAACTAAAGTGCTACCAGCGCCCTAATTATCAAACACCTTCAGACAAATCTGACAGCGAAAAATAAATGAGCAGAAGCAAGACAGCTTTTCCAGGAACCTAAACAATCCCAAGTCTTTCTGTGTGTTTTGGCAGACACATGTTTTAGAAGAGTATTTGCCTTTAGATGATGGTTTTTGAAGAGCAGATTGCCTTACCTGTCTTGGCAGGATCAGATGATCAATCCACCAGTGTTGTTCAGACTAGTCAGGGTCTAGGGAGCTGATGAGGTGAAAGGCAAATTTTTGCTGTGTAGCTGATTTTGCCACACCCAAAGCAAGCCTTCAGAAGGAAGTTTTTCTGAAGCCATGCATCTTCTTGAAGGAACTACAGAATGCTTCATGAGCTGGCATGTTTCTCTATCATAAGATCATCTTTTGTTAAATGCTATAATGTCAGATTTGTAAAGGCACTTGAGAATCAGGGTATCATTATATGTCAGGTATATCTAAATTAAACATATAAATTAAATTTGGACACATAGTTTAACTGATTAGTTACAGCTTACCAACATTAGCAGAGTCCTGGAGATTAGAAAGATTATTTAGGTGTCTAGGTTTCTTTCTTTCTTTCTTTCTTTCTTTCTCTTTCTCTCTCTCTTTTTTCTTCCTTTTCCTTTTTTGTGGTCCTGAGACCTAGAGTGATGTGGGAGTCCTCTCTGTGTGTTGTAATTACCATTAATGAATAAAGAAACTGCTTCAGACCCATAGCAAGGCCGACTTTAGGTAGGCAGGGAAAGCTAGGATGAATTCTGGGAGGAATAAGGGCAGAGTAAGGGAGAAGTCATGGAGATACCACCAGAGACAAATGTGTTGAAAGTTTGCTGGCAGGCCACAACCTCATGGTGATGCACAACTAATGGAGATGGGTTAAATTAAGATGTAAGAGTTAGCTAATGAAAATCTAGAGCTAATGGGCCAAGCAATATTTTAAATAATATAGTTTCTGTGTGATTATTTCAGGGCGAAGCAGGTGGGAACTACCAAGAGGCCCTCTCTCCAACAAATTCGTGCCCACGTGGCCAACTAAAGTCCACTTAAAACCTGAGAAGGCTTGGAAAGGAATTCTAGGCACTAAAAATGAAGTTTAGCCACTTTTTTCCCAAATGGGCTTTGCTCACTGGCAGCTTACTTGCAGATCCTTTAAGAGAGGTTTTTCTGGTTCAGCAATAGCGGGAAAATTTTTTTTTGAAATGCCAGATTTCAGGGCCATCCTGACAGTGCAAACTCGTGCTTTCAGGCAGGAGGTCTGGCTACAGAGCATTTGAATGGGGTTTGTGTGTTGTAATAAGAGCGGCGGGGCGGCGTCGCTGGCACCCGGCAGCCCGCATGGCTAGCTTATGCCCCGAAATAATTACACGGAAACTGTGTTCTTTTAATCACTGCCTGGCCCATTAGTTCCAGCCTCTTATTGGCTAGCTCTTACATATTGATCTAACCCATTTCTAATAATCTGTATAGCCCACGAGGTGGCTTACCAGGGAAGATCTTAACCTGCGGCTGTGTCGGGTGGGAGAATCATGGCAACTCTTGACTCAGCTTCTTTCTCCCAGCATTCTGTTCTGTTTACTCCGCCTACCTAATTTTCTGTCCTATTAAAGGGCCAAGCAGTTTCTTTATTAATTGACCAATGAAAGCATCAGATAGACAGATGACATTAACCAATAGACAGATGACCCTTCTCCATCATTTGTGAGCAGGACGCTGAAGATTGCTTAATGGTGACATGGACTACCTGTGTGCCTGAGTATGAGGCTGTGTGTACAACTCTCGGATGTGTGAGCGACTCTACCATGCTGGACTGGATGGGAAAGCAGCAAGTACTATATATATCATATTAATAACACAGCTTAAATTTTAGATTGGGCACACAAGCAGGAAGTACCATATATACCATAGTAATGGTGCAGCTTAATTTTAAGAAGTGCTTAGCATTTTTAAAAACCCTCCTGGACAGTACAGAATTACAGATATACAAGAAAGACAAATCCAGATGAGTCATAGTGTTGGATAAATGTACATAATCGTGGGAGAAAGAAGAAAAAGAGTATAGAGAGTCATAAAATAAAGTTAATGCTTTTTTGAATAAAAGCCTAATGTCTTTAAAGAGAGTATAAATAGTCAGAGAATAAAAGGAGTGTAGTAATAAGAGCGGCGGGGCTGCATCCCCAGCACCCCGGCCGCCCGCACGGCTAGCTTTACCCGAAATAATTACATGGTCACTGTATTCTTTTAAACACTGCTTGGCCCTTTAGCTCTAGCCCTTACTGGCTAATTCTGATATCCGGATCAACTCATCTCTAACAATCTGTGAGCACCGGTCTTACGGGGAAGATTCTAGCCTATGTCCATCCTGGGTCGGAGCTTCATCGCGTGTGTCTGCCCGGGAGTGGGGCATGGCGTCTCTTCTGAGGTGTCTGCTCCTGAGAGGAGAGCTGTCGAGTCTCTGAGCTCACTTCCTCTTCCTCCCAGCATTCTGTTCTGTTTATTCCACCCACCTATGTTCTAAGCTATGAGGCCAAGCAGTTTGTTTATTAACCAATGAAATCAACAGATTGATATATGACACTCCCACATCAAAGGAGTAAAGAAAATTAGACCTCGTAAAAATGGAAAATTCACAGAGAGTCTGGATTATGTATATTATTGTGTTTTCTTTAAATTTTTTGACTGTGAAGAAGCTAAGTGGAGAGAGACACTTCATTGTATGGGCTGCTAAGCTAAACCAGCATGTATATTATGAAGGTATCATGATTTCTAAATTTGGGTCTAAGCATTTGGTGCTTTGGAAAAGAGGTTCTTCTCTTGTTTCCACAGAAGATGAGAACCTGTGGATTGCTTCCAGACTGGTGTGATTTGATAGAGCACAACCCCCTGATAGGTCACCATGAACACCCTCAAAAACTTATTAGCTTAACTGCTGACTGAGAAGAATCTGGCACACAGGATACACCATGAAAGACCTGATTAACAGTGACCCCAAACAGCAGGAAGCAGTATAGACAGAACTACAACAATATTCCCAAATATTTTCTATAAATGTTTGTTAACACTAAAA